CAAACTATATTTGATTATGGGGTGGGAGACTAAATTAATGGCAAACTGACTTCAAAGACAGATGCACACTCTGAGTCAAAATTTTATGGAGTATGGAATTAGAATAATGATCATACCATACTGAAATATTAATATGTGTACTAGGGAGTTTTTTAGATGTAAAATGGAACACATTAATTAATTAACAAAGTAGACAATTTACTATTTTATCTTGTCATGAAAGTTTATTAAATAAGCAAAGGTTTTTTGGTTTTGGGTGTTTTTTTTTCATTTTCCTCCATGAGGACTTGGGAGATATTGGGCCCATACAATACTCATTGCAAGCTCTCCAGAGCATAAGGAAATGAAGGTGAAAGCTCTTCGGCTTATACTGTGGAAGACGTTAGTTGACTGGCTTGGCAGAAAAGGAAGAGGAGCTTTGTTTTGCTGTCAATGGGATGGCAGTGCTCGGATATAAACAGAAAAGAGGGTGAACATGTGGAGGAAAGTTTTAGGAAGGCAGTACTCTGCTCTTGAATCCAAAAATAGAAGAGCTATTGTGTTATTACAGTTGTTCTTTGCTGCTGAGTCAGAACCAACCCACAGTTGACCCTTCAGCAGGTTTTTAGAGGCTGTAAATTGGATAAGAGGCGATTGCCCATGTTTTATTTTCTTTGAGACAGGTGGTGTATTTGAACTACTTGCCTTTGAGTTGACAGTACAACTCCTTACCCACTAGGCCACCAGAACTCCCGTGTGTTACCGCTGTAAGGGGATTATTTGGGATGAAAAATGAACATAGGCATGAGAAATGATGAACAGAAGCATTATGAAATTTGTGCCCTGGAATGTAAGGAGAAAATCCTATGATGTTTGATATTCAAATACAAACAATCTTCAAACACTCTAGAAGTGAATTTTTTTTACCAGTTAGTTAGTGAAGTACTTAATTTTCTAGAGCCTGGAGTTGTAGGCAGATGGGCCTCAACAGTTATCAGTAAAGGAATGGATTAAGGCAAGTGTATTTTTAGGCAGGCGAGAATAGAGAAATATACAAGTAACAATTTCTGATTGTTACTACATGGTATTTTTCTCTTAGATATTTTGGGAAGAAAGAACCACATGATGTGAATTTGGCAATTAACAAATTTATAAGATTAGTAAATTTAGCTATTAATGGGTAGACCTCATCCACGTTACCCTCAGACAGCATCAGATTATCCTATTGAAAATGCTTGCATTGGTTTTATAATTTCAGAGCCCTTTTCCATGTGTCAAACCTTCACTGTCATTTAAGATTCTCCTCTTTTTATTCTTTCTAGTAGTGATTATTTTCTTTCACTGTGAACCTAATAAAACATTCAACTTAACATTTTCTCATTAAGACAGGAAGCAAGAGATACTTAAAAAAACAACTAATCAATTCAAACACACAAAAAAGGACTTGGAAAACCATTTGATTATAGATGAATGACAAACTGAAAGTATTACGAATGGAAAGCCAATTTCTAGAGATTCAATTTCTATCACTGTAGGTGGCACAAAAAATTAAAGTCATCTTACTTACTTCACCAACTTTCACTGACCAAGGTAAAGATGTTAAAAAAAAGAAGTAAAAAAAAAAAAACCACACCACGAGCCTATGTAGCCTTGGAAACTGAATTTGAAGCCGAATATACAAAGGCTGGATTTAAATTAAGTTTAAAACTTGAACAAAAATTCTCAAAGAAATAGTCTGAGACAGATGATGAATATAAATATCTCTGTGTGACGGAAAAAAGTGAAACAACACTTTGATCACATTTAAAAAAAAACAAACCTGAAAATTCAGCATGGGAGGTTAATAAAATATTCTTAACACATTTGAAAACACTCAAATATATTTACTTCTGTCTGTTTTCAGGGGTACTAATCACAGCTTTAGTTTACTTGGCTCCATAGTCAACAGTCTTGGCACCAGCAGCCAGGAAATTAAAAGGTGCATTGCCATGGGAAAGTCTGC